AGATATCACTCAGTGTTTAACTCGCAAGGTAAATCAATCAGAAGTTATTGGGGTGATGAAACCAAAATCTCCTTTGCATTCAGCTGCATTCAAAGTCCGTCATATCGGTAAACAAACTGCTTAGCTAGAACTCTAGACGTGTGTTGTGTCTCAGAAGCATGCATACAGGACACTACTCTAATTATTATAACATGCTCTTCAGACCTAACCTCATATTCGCGCTTCACTCTTCGTGTGTTAAATGATCTGGTGGTGTTGCTGGTTTCGGGATTGCGCTGAGTATCAAGGTTGAGCACTTGCTTCTTGGCGGAATTCCAGTTAGTAGCCTACTTTGCACTGCACGTCTCGACAGTTCGGTTCGAGTAAAAACCACAGAAAGATGCGTCCGTGCTTACTCGTCGTGTGCGTGTATTCAACACTACTTTGCTTCACACTGAAATGAAGATGCTGAGAAAAAACCCACAGAAGAGACAGAAGGTATGGAATTTCTGTCGCGGATTGTATTCGGGAGTAAGTGGCACTTGTTCATCGAAACACTTCGAATATAGTAAGCAGAACTGACCTGCGGGAATTCTGCGAGAAACAGGCCTCATAGTTTGTCTGGCGAAATTTCACAATTTGATCAAACAGATCGGATTGATTGAGCCAGTGAGTATCTCCGGAAGGATCATTCGTCACAGTTTGTCCATAGCATTTCTGATTGTCTAGCATTGCTGCTATCCAGTCATAGCCCAAATGTTCGTCTGAAGTGGACGCGTAGGGACCGCGAGGCTGATGCATTTGTTTGGGTGACTATAAAGCGTGAACAATAAGGTGTTAACACCACTATCCCAACAAAAATTTGAATAAATTGGTTAAAACAGACTGGTTCAACGATTACTTCGGTGCATATATGTGCGCGCCCATTTTAATCAAGCTGTTATCGAGGAATCAATAAAATTATAAGAAGAGTACAAAGATAATATTCGATTGAACAGAAAGAAAAAATGAACCACGTAGTGTCGGATGAGAGCAAATTCAAAATGGACAATACACCCCATAACAAGTCTCGCGCAAAAAATGATCATCCGAAAACTTCAGATTTTGTCATGGCATGGTTACATTTATGAGGCTCAATACAAAAAGCTGAAACCAATGGGAACGGAGACATTCCAAATGAGAGGTTCACCTCTCATTTGGAAGACCCACAAAGTAGGTGCTCTACTCAGACGAACCTTATGCATACAGAATTCACCATATCACACGTTGGCTTGATGGTTAGTTGATAGATTAGATCCCATTCGTTAAGTTCTGACGCCTCTTTGTGTTAAAGATTCCTCTCTCACGATGTTTTCTATGGATGTTGATTCCCGTTTTACAAACAACCCCCTCAATGAAACAGAGGAATTGTTATGTGATTGAATCTCCTCAGAGAATGTTCACCTCCTTTTCCCATTGATCGTTTAAAAGACTTCATAATTGTTTGCACTGAAAGCACGTTTTGAATTTGAAGGAACAGTGCACAAGCGAACTGACGATGTAGCAATGGGCAGTCCTCTGGGCCAAACATTAGCGGACGTGTTTCTAGGAGTGATTGAAAGACGATTGCTGAATAATATTTCAGAGGCTGTTTTGTACAAACGGTATGTCGATGATATTTTGATTTTTACCGATCCTGATCGTTTTAACACCACTTTTACATTGTTCACTACTATTCACACCAATCTCTCCTTTAAGAAGGATAGCCGCTTGAAAATTTTAAATAAGAAAATCAGGAGGCGATCAGATGGGACCTTCAACGATTCGGAGACCGGAGACCCGAAAATCTTAGTATCGTCGGGTCGGTGTCTAGGGTTGTGGCTGGTCACCCTTCCGTTGCACCTAAAGAAATGCTCCTATACGACCAAGCGTCTCAAACAGCCTCTGCTGAGAAAGCCCTGCTCACTGTCAAGTCAACATCTGGGGCTATAGCCAGTTTGGTAAACCACTAGCAGTTCACGTACAGGAGTTGGATGAAAACCCTGATTCCAAACCAACAAAGAAGAGGCGTATGAACCACATTAACTAAAAACTTCTTGGTCGTGGTAGTGGTCATCGGACCAATGGGCATGGAGGTGTATTGGGCAAGTTACACGTTTGACCGCGTCCAAAGGGTGTACGGTCCGACACTAGCCTCTAATGGATCGCGGTTTTCACAGACTGCCCCGATGCCTTATGGGTCAGGATTGACTAGCCGTAGGCTCCGGTTGTGACTTTCTCAAGAAAATTCACCTATCTTGACCTGGGCAACCTGGTAGTATTCTGTTCACAAACAAATCATGGACTGGTCTTCAAAAGTGATCACCCAATGAACGACGTGCGTCAGAATCTCAAAGCGTTATTTTGTGGAACATTTCCTACGGCACAACTTCGACTGATACCGCACACTCATGGTATTCGTTAGGACAACTGACAACAGAGCAAACCAGCAAATTCTAATTCACATGTTATCTATCACCAGCGATTGCGGTGATACTTACTTCGGCAGAACGAATCGGCCTCTAACACAACGGATGTCCGGACTCATTCTCAAGTGGTTATTACAGTCAATGACGCAGCAAAATCTCAGAGATCGATTTGATAGGCGAAATCTGGGGGCATCAGCTGCAGCACATCTCATGAGAACTGCACATATCGTTGACCCACTTCTATTGTTCAGTCCG